TATATATATATATATGACATTATTAGTGATACATATATAAATGAAATGATGATAAATGCGCTAATATGCTAATTTGTTTATCATTAAGAGAAAAGAGATATTCTTTAATTATCTTGTATCAGATTATAAAAGTAAATATTGGAAATTATGAGACATGTAAAAGTGAATCGAGATTTAAGGAAAATAATGCAGCATACCTGAACAGCAACCTCCAGATTCCAGTTGTGTCTCTGCAAAACATCTCTGCATACTGATAGATCCTCAATACCGGTGAGATCCTGGAAACAATCGTTATGTCATGTCATGATAATACGAGGATAAATGTCGATTCTCGTGACTTTAAAATGAAAAGCCCGACGATAAAAGTACCTGGAATTGGAGTACTTTCTCAGTCTGATCACTACTGAGCTCCCCTAAAGCGAGATCTGCCATGACGAAATTTTCCTCCGGTGAGTTGTGGAAACGAAATGTTTGGACAATCCGGCGGAAAATTGTGCGCGTAGTTACATTGAGCCCATCAGCTGATACAAAGTTCGCATATACGGCGTAGGTTATAATAATGCGAGATCGTAACCATTTGGATACGCGGATATTTCTCAACGAGAGTTTTAAACCTTGAGCGTTTTTCAATTAAGCACAGGAGGCCCCTCACGAAACGTCACGACACAATTCGTTTCATTTTTTAACTACACAAACGTTGTTTTTGACATCATGACTCTTCACAGTATAATTTACGATTTCAAGTTTTCAAGCTTGTCTCTCTCAATCATTCTTCATCATTCTCAGACCGTCACGACAACGTCATAAACAAACAATTTACTTTTCGAGCTCTGCCATTGGCGAGGGTCGCGTATTTTCCTAAAAGACTCTAAATGTTTGGCATCGACCAATCAGAATAAAAAAATCTTTGTCCTCCTGCTTGGCCAATCAAATGATTGGAAACATTTTTAACTTTAAGTCGTTACTCTATGTTACATACATAAAACATGGCCGCGGTAAGTAAGACTAGGTCAGTTTAGGTTAGATTAGATCAGGCTTATGTTGTGCAATGTTATGTTATCGTGCGGGTGAGAAGCGCTCTATTGAATCTCGCAAAGTAAGATGATAAAAAATTGGAAAAATGCGCGATCAGTAATACGAATTGGACGCACAAACGACGTCCTGACCGGTGTGTTGGATTTCCTTGTAGGGCGTACGCTGCCCTAATAAGAACAACGGATATCGAACGTTGTCGAAACGACATAGCACGAGACGCTTGGAATGGATTATGCAACGATTGTCGACGACGCAGTCAAGCAATTCTACTCGGCGGGCAACAATGAGGCTCATTCATGGCTTTTGCAAGTGCAAGCCTCTCCCGAGGCCTGGCACTTTGTATGGCAACTTTTGGATCCCTCTAAGGTCTTCTTTCTTACAAAGCTTCTAATTTATCTTCTCTTATTACATCTACTTCTTTTATAACTCGCTTATAATGTTCTTTTTTTCCCGATGGTTCTGTAATTCTATACTTTAGGAATGTTACAAGCAGAGTCAGATGATAACTTTTGACACTATTTTTGAACAAGAAAACAATGTAGCTGTAATCAGAAAATAAGTTGGAAATATTTTGAGTGTTTTAACAGTGATCTAGAATTAGTTGACCTTTTTTGATTTACATTATTTTTCAGTCATTTGAAGTGCAATTTTTTGCGGCGACAACTTTACATGCAAAGATATCCAAACAGTGGGATGAAGTGCCTCAAATTGAGTATCCAATGTTAAGGGAACGTTTGCTCAATAGTGTGAGAGGAACCAACACCCCTACATTTATTCTTGCAAAGCTTTGTCAAGCGGTAATTTATATATATATATATATACATATTTTGTTTTTCTTAATAATTTAATAAAAAGATATGGGGTGTGTGTGTTGCAAATAATTAGCTAACATTTGCATATAATTCATTATAGTCATAAATTATCTAACGTGCTCTAATTTCAGTTAGCTGCATTTGTGGTCAACGTTTACAGTGCAGAAAACAGAGAAAAAAATAAAAGTATAGTTGACGAACTGCTTAGCATTGTACCTTATAATTCTCCATCTGCGTTAGAATTGTTACTTCGAGTACTTTTAATACTTCCTGCTGAGGTATATAAATATATGTGAGATTATTTTTGTGCTACTTAATTTTAACTCTTTGAGAGAGAGAGAGAGAGAGAGATGATTGCAATTATTTGTTTAGTATAAAAAGAAACACGAAGCAAAAAGTGCCAAATTGCGGGAAGCCGTTCTCAACTTAATCAATAGCTGGTGCCAAACTGCGTGGCTTTTGCAACAGGTCTTTTCAATGTGTAATCCCAATTCTGAAGGTAATGATAACACATTGTACACCTTGGGCCTGGAATGTGCTCAATCATGGCTCAAAATCGACCAGTTACCTTTAGAAACCACTGGCCAGATCTATCCCTACTTATTAATGGCTGCAGCCCACTATGCACCTAATAGGTACAGTTATACTATATATTAAAAGAACACGCGATAAATCGACTATTGTAAAACTTAATTATGTAATGATAAACAAAATAATAAAAAAATTAAACCAAATAATTTAATAAAGTTACTTTTTCCATTATAGAGAAGGTGGCGATGATGAGAATATCAGAAGCTGGGAAATAGTACAAGATTGTTTAACTATGATTGTGACACGTTGGGAGCTTCAAAAGCGACCTCAAACTTTCTGGGAATGGGCTACTGCTTTGGTATCGATGGCGAAACAAAACAACGAAAAATATTTCTGCGAGATACTAACTGCTATCGGGGAGACTCATAGCCGAGCGTTTCTCATCGCTCTCGCTGAGAATTCCAACGAGACACATGCATGGACGGCCATGCATTTGATCGAATTATTGTTGGATTGTTCGGAGCAGAAAGGTCGTTATCCTACGGAAGAGACGCGTAGCTCTATACCGTTTGGATTTTGGTACGCATTACAAGATGATCTTTCCACGTTGGATCAACCGTTGGAGAGTCGAGCTCTAGAAGCATTGAAACCCATTTATTTTCGATTGGCCCAGGCATTGTTGCGAAAATCGACATTACCTGCATCTCCGAACGAAGGAGGGAACGCGGATGAACGCGAGCTTTTTAGATGTTACAGGCAGGACGTGGTGGATACGTTGGATTATTGTTACAAAGTTCTCGGTACTGATCTGTTGGCACTTCTGGGACAAAAAATGAGTCTTGAAGATTTAGCGTGGACTGACATAGAATCCACATTGCATGCTTTCAAAGCTCTAGCCGAAAGTGTTGGCACTGAAGAGTATTATTACATTCCTGCACTAATAAATTTGATTCTCGTTCGCATACCTTATCATCTTTATCCCGAGGAGGTATGTATAGTTTCTGTGTGATAAAACAATTAGAATTGTGAGTGTCATTCTTAGAATCCACAATCAATATTAATAGAGTATTTTTTTCTTATATTTCTCTTTTTTTCTTTTATTAAATAAAATAATTTTAAGAATTTAAAAATTTTATTTTATTTGTAAGAGATGTTCAAAATATGACACATACTTTTTTGTTTTTACTGTACTATCGTGAATTTAATAACAAACGATTCATCTCCAGGTATTAACGTGCGCCTGTTCGACGCTAGGCGCATACGCCGAATGGATAGGGGAGCATCCCGAACCTTGGCTGAAACAAGTATTGCAACTCGTTACTGAAGGATTGACCAGAGGTTCTATGACGTCACCTTTTGCAAGTATGGCGCTAAAGGATCTGATCAGAGAATGCGAGTCGCACCTCATCCCTTACGCGCCGTCCATCCTCCACACCATCAGTCAAACATTACCAAGCATCGAGCCCGGCGGTAGGGAAGGCTTGCGACTCATGTATGCCGCCGGAAAATTACTCAATATATTGCCCTCTATGGAGGAGCAATTAGTGCATCTCGAAGCGACATTAGGATTATGCGTGATGAGGATAAAAGAGCTGTTGGAGCAACCGTTATTCACGGCGCGAGTCGGCGTGACAAATTATTTGAAGATGGTTACCACATTCTTTACAACTATCGAAGGCGCGATCGGTAAAGCTGTGTTGGACGGCGTACTACCGGTGTTCAATCAGATTGTTGTGCATCCCGAATGGAGCCAGGACAACGCTACATTGGAGGCGATGCATATATGCGCGCAACGATCTCTGTCAGCGTTGCAACAGCCGGAGATAGAGGCACGACCCCTGCTTCCGATTTTGTCAACTTCGTATAAGATCTGGCCGCATCCGGCCGCGTTGAATCTATTGAAGCAGCTCGTGCTGTTGTTTAGGAGAGATCCAGACAACATCGTAGGTCCGGTGCTCGCGGAAATAAGCTCGATAACGTTGAACGGTGTGAAGGCTTGCAGATCGGTGCAGGGCGACCTGTCCGAGTGGTCAGACTTAATGGAAGCTTATCTAGACGTGCTCACGCAAATCTGTAAGAAGAACACCAGGATATTGCTGCAGATTCCAGATCAAATACCGGACATGTTGCAGTGTGGTAAGCGTAATCGTGTGTCTCAATATATTCTTAATATTTAAATTATCTTACAACGTAATTATTTTTTTTCTATAGGAATCGCATGCCTAACTCTACCAGAGACAGCTACAGCCAAAGCGGCCGGTCATTTTCTCAGTAACGCGATTATGCAAAGTCCGCATCTGCAAACGTTTATTCAACCGATCGGGCAAGAACTTGTCTCCGCAATTTTGCATTGTGTCGGTAAGCAACAGAAATGCACAAATATTTCGCACATTTGCAAAACCTATGCTGGTCTGTTTATTTGAGATCGCTCATTTATTTATTTTTTGTTATAGGTGGAGCAATACCTCATAGTAATTTAGATCCACATGCCGAAGTTTTATTAGCATTAAATAAAACTTGTTCGGAATGGACCGCGCAGTGGTTACGGATCGGACTGGAGAATCAAAAGAATCTTGCTGCTATAGTGTTACAAAGGGAAAACATGATACGCATTTTGACGGAGAGAACAAGAGCGACACGACTTTGTGAAGTATTAAAAGAAATTAGTATTCAATGTCGTCAAAAAAAGGGACTGTGACAATAGAACTTTTAAAATCGATAGATTTGACGGCACGAAAAACAAATCTAAGGCAATTGTTATGATCTAAGGTAAGAAAAATAATGTAATGCACAGAAGTTAACATAATTTATCTCTTCGTAATAAATACTACATTATATA